GTGGGAATGATCTTCCCTAGCTTCTCCACTCTTCTTCATCTTAACTTGAATATCCCTTAACTTAAATATCTTCACACTTTCTTCTGGAATCCCACAGGAGAGCTTGCTCAGCCTCCTTTCCCCTGCTTATTTTCATAGAGCTCAACATGTCTTTATTATGCTTCTTACCACTGTAACTTATTGATTAATTGTGCATGTGTTTAATGACTGCCTTCCAGGCCAGACTGTAAACTCACTCTGACATAGTGGCTGGAATGCCATAGGTGCCCAGTAAAGAGCTGCTGAATGAAACTACAAACTAAGTGAATGAATTAACACCAGAAAGAGAAAAATTCATGGCTATGTGCTGGGAACATTTGGATTTTTAAGTGTACACAAGATGTTAAATTACTAGTCAGATCTCAAAAAGTCATCTTGCTGGAGCACAGATTGTTTGCCCTGTCATCTCTCTGTTGATAAAAACTTCCATGAATAAACTGTTCATTATTTGAAGATGCCTCCATAGTTGCCAAAACATAAACAACAATAGCAGCAAAGGCAGCTTACATTTTCTGATTGTTTCTATCAGGCTTTGTACTGTGTACTTTCCATATATTATCTCACCTAATCCTCACAAGATCTCTGAAAGGTAGATGCTGGGGGTTTTGTTTGTTTATTTTCAATTTCTGTTTCCAGATGAGAGGACCAAGGCGCAGAGAGTTTAAATCGCTTGATTAAGGTCACTCAGCCAGTAAGTGGCAGGTGCAGAAGTGGAGGGGCATCAGGGTAGGATGGAGTACCATCCCCTCCCCTAGTGCCCTTCCCCTCATTAACTGAAAGAGCTTTTTATCCATTTTATAAATGGGGCCTCTGCCTTGCTTTTCTTTGAAGCCAGGGTTTTGTGGCTAAAGAAGAATTTGAAAACTCCAGGTCCACAGAACAAATTTGACCCTGATGCACCTTTTTCAGCCTCATGCCTTCCTGCCGTTACATCTCCCACTGTGCTTCTGCCTGGAGTGCCCTTTCCTTTCTTCTGCAGCTGACGAGCTACTGTGCGTCTCTGGGGCATTTTCCAAACCTTGAGACAGAATGAGCTGTACTCTCTGCATGCTCCTCCTGCAGAAGGCCTGTCCATCCGTCCTAGCAGCAGTCGTGCTCTTCCTAAGTAGAGGTTGACAAGTTTGTCTACCCTGCTGGACTGAGCCTCTGGAGAAGTTGGACCAGGCCCACCTCGTCTCTGGTGCTCCTCAGCCCAGCCCGGGATCTGGCAGGGAACCCCGGGGCCTCAGCCAGTGCTTGATGAGTGAATGCATGCCAAGTGCAGAGCCGGTGCTCAGAACCAACCGGCTGAGCCCAGAGCCTGGAATACAGCTAGCCTGTACTCACAGAACCCTGTGAATGCGAGATGGAGACGATCAGATGTATTAATCACTGGTTTGGAAAGGAATTAAAATATTTCCATAATATAGTATGTTTCTTTTCTAAAACAGATGTGCCCTCGTTGTTTCATGAGGAAGTAATTAAGTGTGTTTGATTAAAACATTCATAAACACGATCAGATTTATTCAAGGCTACTATATGCTGCTATCTTTATTGTTGGTACTTTATATAATGTCGTGTGTGCATCTCCCAATCACCCTGTAAGGTGTTCTTATTATCTTCATTTTAGAGATGAAGAAACTGGGGCTGAGAGAGATTAATTATCTTGCCCAAGGATAGTCAGCTTCTGAGTGATAGATACAGGAATAAAATGTCTGTCTTGACTTCAGAACCAGTGCCTTTCCATCATCCTGACTGCTTCTGATCTTGTAATTTGGATACCTTCAGCTCAACACCGGGAACCAGCATGCAGAGATGCCTCTCTTCTTCTCAGCCCTTCCTGTGCCTGGTGTCCCCTCCCCCTCCCCACCCCCCCGCCTCCCCCCCACCCCCGCCACTGCACTCCCCTCTCCATTTCCTTAGAATACTACCTCTGTATTTGCATCCTGAAACTGAAATATTTTTGTCAGTGTCAATAACTGAATACTATTATATATGGAAACGTGTTAATAGTGTAGTAAGGTCACATTTACATTAATAAATATAAAAAATACACTTTATTAAGGCCAAATTACATATATTATGAATTTGTTTTCTTTATACAGCCATTTATTCTTAAGGGTTTTTTGAATCCCAGTTTATGTATTTTTGAATGTGTGATTTTTTTTTCTCCATGTTAAATATAACAATGTAGTGAAAAAGAAGTTGGTTAGATAATTTTTTTATTTTATTAAAGATTGTCTAAAAAGCAGGCTACCTATTTCAAGTTACATATGAAATATAAGATTGAAATACTTCTCTGTAGAGAAGTTAAAAGGTTTCTTACAGACTTAGATGCATTTATTTTCTGCCCCTCCTAGTATTTCAGCAGGATTAAGTTTTTTGAATCAGTGGATCAAGTTTTAATTTTCCTGTTCCTTCCTTATACTGACATATGCTTTGGCAGAACAAAAAAGAGACCTAAACATGTCAGCATGATTTTTGTTCAATGAATTAAAAACCATAAAAGTAACAAGATCTGATCCAAATCCCTAAACTCCTGACATGGTGGTTTTGTCCTTTTCAGTCCCAAGATTCATATTACTGACTTTGAAAAAAGCTTTGTGCCTGGAAGCAGAAGTTGCGACAGCAGCGCGTAATTTATTTGAAATAGATTGCAAGGGGTGGGCAGCATGGACTAGTGGGAAGAATACAGGCTACAAAATTCTGGATTTGAATCCCAGTTCTGTCACTCAAGCCCATCTGTGTGCCTCAATTTCCTCATTGGAAAATGGGGGTTTTAGAATCTAGTTTGATAAGTTGTGAGGTTCAGCGAGGTAAAGTACTCATCTGGCATTGAGGGGCTCCGTAATGGTAGTCATCAGGATTCTTTTTATTTTGAGAATGTTTTAAGAATTTTGAGAATTCAAATAGCCGGATCCAGAAGGATTTATTTATCACATAGTTGTCCACTTTGTCCTCAGAGCTTATTCGTTCTCAGAATTCTTTAATTTTTTTTCTCGTCCTATCAGGAAAAAAATACCAGGTAAATGCCACTAAACCTTTAACACCTGTTTGCCACTGTTTCGCACAGAACACATACCCAGAACTTGGGATTATCTTACTAAACCGAAACCACGTAGATTTGAGGATCAAGAACCACATGCCAGTGATCTCCAGTTCAGGACCGAGGAGGCAGAGGAATTTTTTCATACTAAGACCATTGGCTTCTGAGACAGGCCAGCCTAGGTTTGACTTTGTGTAAGATAGCCAAACTTCTTTGGACCTTATTTTCTTCATCCATGAAATGGAGTTCATGATCTTACAGGACCCTCTGTGATACAGCTCTCCAGCCTCTTTTCTTGTTACTCCCTTCTCTGTTTCTGTGCTCCAGTCAGTCCCTCACATGAACATGATCTCGTTGTAACTTAAAGCCTTTGTACGATGCTCTTTCTTCCTCCTGGAGATCCCTACCTGTATTGGCAACTTTGCCCTCATTCTTTAGATCCTTGTGGTGTATTAGTCAGGATAGGATGGGCAGTGCTCTAGTAACTAGCAACCCCCAAATCTCCATGGCTAAAACAACAGAAATTTATTTCTTGCTCATGATGCATGGGGCACTGTTCATCATAGTCTCTCTGGGGCCTAAGCGGATGGAAGCTCCCTCCCAACTTGCACTGCGGCCAACAGAAACAAATGTGGTGCAGTGCACGCTGGCTTATAAACCTTCTGCCCTGAGGCGACACCCATTCTGCTCACATCTCACTGGCCAGAGCGAGTTGCACAGCCACACCGAACTTCAGAGGGGATGGGGAAGTGCATTCCCACTGGAAGGAATAAAAACCAGAATATTAGTGAACAAACCTAATGACTACCATGCTTAGATATTATTTCCTCAGGAAAGCCTTCCCTCCCCAAACTGACCCCTCCCCAAACTCAGACACGCTCTATTGTAAAGGTCTGTTTACTTAGCTCTCTCCCTAGCTAAGCTCCCTCAGAACAGCACAGAGGTCTGTCACCTTCATCGTAGCACACTCTGTGCAACCAGAACTCTGACAGGTAGTAGGCACTCAGTGCGCACACGACCAAGAAATGAAGGCAGGACGAACACGCTAGACCACTTTGCTGGCTTGCTGTGATGATTAACTGTGAAATAGGAAGAATAACTGCCTCATACAGTTGTAAGGGTCAACTTACAAAAACTTATAAAGTGCCTGTCGCAGGTGTTTACAATAGCCCTTCAATGTGCTCGTTGTTGTTACTTTGATGAGGATATTAATAGTAAAAATAACTGACATTAAGCATTTTTAATGTGCCAGACACTCATGGGTACTTTAAGGAAGTTAACTGGTGCAGTGGTTGTGTCTGACATGTTGTGTCTGGGTCAGTGTTGAGGTGATTTACAAGTAATTTGCTATAATAATAGTTAAGATTCTGAAGGTTGCTGCTTATTTGTTTTGGGTGATTTAGAGGTATAGAGATGATGCTATTTCTGTAGCATCATCATCCATTAGCACTGCTTTCTTTAGCTGGAGACAAAAGGGTGGAATTATAGCTAATAGTTGCTTCCTATTATTGAGCACTTAAAATGTGCCAAGGTCAGTGCTAAACAATAAACACACATCATCGCATAATCAATCTTCACACCACCCATTTAAGTCAGGTACGGACTATCCCCATTGTACAGATGGGAACTCTGAGGAGGGGAAGTCAGCTATGCATCTGGTAAGGGGCATGGCCAAGATTTGACTTCAGGCCTGCCTAGACTCCCTGGCTCATGCTTTTAAGCAACACTCTTCTTACTGACTGTTCTCAGCTATCTCACCAGGAACTCTCCTTGACCTTGAGCATCCCCATGGGCGTGTGTCAGGAACGTGAAGACCCTCCACCGGCAGAGAGTAAAGTTACAAACTGCTGAGCTAGTGGGCAAAGTGATGTTGAATTCTTGGCTGGCTGTTAACGTGTGGGATGATTTTGTTGAATGTTCTTTCGTCTTTTATCAGAGTAACCAGGGAGCACAGGGAGATGCTGGCGAAACTGGCTAGACAGAACACCAACAAGGCCAAAGACTCTTTACGGAAGGTTCGTACCAACGCAATGAATAAGCTGAAGAAATCGAAGGATAAGGCCTCGGAGGACACCATTAGGCTCATAGAGAAACAGGTACTGTTGCCAACAGATGTAGTGCTTATGTATCTGACCCAGAAGATCACGTGTTCATGCCTGAAGTGAGGAGAATGAAAATGGAATACTCCTAGTTCTTTCACTGATGTGATCGGTATTGGCTGAGTCTCTGTTCTGGACCTGGCCCTTCACTGGACCCTGGGAATAAGGAGGAGGAGAGGTAGCTGCTGACCTTCCACTGTGTTCCAGGCTCTAAGCTGAATGCTTTACAGCACTTCATTTATCCTCATCACTACAAAGCTGTGAGGTGGGTGGTGAGGAAACTGAGGTCCACAGAAGGTAGATAACTTGCCCAAGGTCACGCTGCTGGTAAACGGCAGCAGTGGGATCCAAACCCAGCAGACTGATCTCAGAGGCTATACTCTGATGCTCTCCTGTCTATGCCTGGTTGTCTGGTGTGGAGAATTGGGGACTTGGCCCTGTTCTCAGTGTGCTGAGTAGTGGCACTTCAACAAGTCTTAAAGGAGCTACTGGAGTGAAATAGTGAGAGGCGAGGGGGAAATGTTGAACGGCATATGTAAAGGTATGGTGATGGAAAAGAACACCATTCAGTTAGATAACCGAGGCTTGGACCCGGGATGACGCTGGGAATGGACAGAGAAGACACAGTGGCCAATTCATAGCAGGTCTTGTATACCAGAATGAGGAGTCTGAACTTTAACACGTCCAGAGGTTCCCACATTGGCTCTGCATCTTTATCGGTCATCTGTGGCCACAAGAATGCCATGTAGCAAAGTACCTCAAAACTCAGTGATTTATATATCAAGCATTATTTCTTATTCTTGTTTCCGTGGGTCAGCTGGGATGTAGCTGTTCTAGGCTGGGCTCAGTGTACTTCTTGCCTTCAGATCTTGGATGGGGCTCAAGTCTGCTGTACATCTCTCCAATCTTCTGGAGTCAACAAGCTTCCCGGGGCATCTTTTCATGGCAACGGCAGATGCCAAGAGCCCAGCTCCTCAAGTACATTTTAAGCACCTGCTCTTGTCACAACCCACAGGCCAAGCAGATCTTACGGGCCAAGCCCAGCACCACTGGGGCAGGGAAGTATATATGTTCATGGAGGTCTGGGGGAAGGAGTGAATGCTTGTTGAACAATATTCTAATCTAATCTATCATCACAGCATTCCAGTCACTTGAGGAGCTAATAAAAATATGTATATCCTCCCCTCCCCTCCCCCTCCACTCCCAGAGACTGAGTCAGTGAGTCTGGGGTGGGACCTAGGGGTATGCATTTTAAAATGCTCCCCAGGTAATTCTGAAACAGGAGCTCCCTTGAACGATTATTTTTTCAGACAGTGGGGCCTCACACTTGTGTTCAAAAGATGACTGCAGTGGCTGGGTGGAAAACGGATGGTAAAGGGCAAGAACGGAGGCCCGGAGGCTGTTGCAGAAATCCAACCAGGAAATGTTGGTGGCCTGAACTTGAGTGGTACTAGTGGAATTAAGATGGGAAGATGAATTTACCAGTCTTGAGAAGATAGAATTTTTAATGTTTAGCATAATATAAATAAAGGGCTCTCCCAAAGCCTCCTCGTCCACAATAAAAGCATTATCTTAGGAAGATTGAACAGGAGTGTGGGCAGGATGGGGAGTAAAAAGGGAAGATGCGGGAGGCTAGGAGAGCCGTTAGGGGCTCATCAGGAGGAGGCCGTTAACTGGCTAACTACTCCCTCCTCTTAGACTCGCACTTAGAATGCTAGTCGTCGACCAGGCCCAGCAGTCACCCAGGGGAGAATTTTAGATGGATGCCCGGCCCACTCCTGCATTTTCTGATTCAGTAGGTCTGCCTAGGAATGTGCATTTTTAAAGAACTCCCAGATATGCGAAAGCAGACAGGAAAGGTAGTGACCTGGAAGCATTGCAGCATACCCCTGTAACGGCACCAGTGTTAGAAAGAGGTGGCTCCGCACTTGATGTCTTATAACCTTGGAGAAGTTACTTGACTCCTTGGAGTCTGTTTCCTCTGTACAATGGGATTCGTAATTCCTCCCTTGAAGGGTTGCCCTGGGATGCTAGAAGTACCATTAGAGTAGGTGACACCAGCCCCTCGGAGTGCCCTTCCTGACCTCTTTGATCCCTCCTCTTTGCCTGCATTAGCTCACAGAGGTTCAGAGACTAGCCCGGCCTTTTCTGAGCACTGCCCAGGCCTTGGAAGAGTCTAGCTGGGGCAGCTCCATGTCTATCTCCCAGGGGATTCCATCGCTGCGGTTGACACTTGGCCTTTGTGTTGCTTCCTGGTGGTGAGCCTGTGGACCTCTGGGGCCTGTCAGGCACTCCTCACTCAGCAAGTCTGGGCATCTGCCTCAGGGACCAGAGCCCACGCTCCTTGAAAAAAGAAAGAATGATCAGATGTCCAGCAACCTCCTTTTTCTTTTTTTTGTAATCTGTCTTCTTATACTTTTAAAAAAATTATTGAGGTAACATTGATTTATAATACTATACGTTTCATGTATACAACATTATATTTCGACTTCTGTACACACTACAGTGCGGTCACCACCAAAAGTTTAGTTTCCACCCATCACCATACAGCTGACCCCCTTTACCCATTTTGTCCTCCTCCCACCCCGCTTCCCTCTGGTTACTACTAAATCCATTCTCTTTATCTGTGTGCTTGTTGTTGTTTTGTTTGATTTGTTCACTGATTTTGTTTTTTGGGTTTTTAGTTTTATTATTTTTTTACACCAGCACTCTTTTTTTTTCTCTTTAAATTTATTTATTTTTATTTTTGGCTGCGTTGGGTCTTCGCTGCTGCGCACGGGCTTTTCTTTACCTGCGGCGAGCGGGGGCTCCTGTTCATTGCGGTGCGCAGGCCTCTCATTGGGTGGCCTCTCCAGTTGTGGAGAACGGGCTCTAGGCACGCGGGCTTCAGTAGCTGTGGCTCGTGGGCCCCAGAGCGCAGGCGCAGTAGTTGTGGCGCACGGGCTCAGTTGCTCTGCGGCGTGTGGGATCCTCCCGGACCAAGGCTCAAACCCGTGTCCCCTGCATTGGCAGGCGGATTTCTAACCACTGCGCCACTAGGGAAGCCCCTATACCAGCACTCTTGATAAAACCTACTTGACAAAGATCTCGCCCAAAGCCTTCACTCATCAGCACCTGCCTTTTCACCTTCCTCTTCAGATTAGATTTTTTATTCCGTGCTTATTACTGTTGATTATTATTATTTTCCAAAATGAAAACAACTTTATGAGTTTTTTTCTTATACTAAACTAATAGATGTTTAGCGTATATTAAAAAATTAAGGGCTTCCCTGGGGGCGCAGGGGTTGAGAGTCCGCCTGCCGATGCAGGGGACGCGGGTTCGTGCCCTGGTCCGGGAAGATCCCACATGCCGCGGAGCAGCTAGGCCCGTGAGCCATGGCCGCTGGGCCTGCGCGTCCGGAGCCTGTTCTCCGCAATGGGAGAGGCCACAAAAAAAAAAAAAATTAAGAAGAAAGTAATTGGAATCTCATCACCCAGAGATTACCCTTGTTAACATATTCTTGCAGGCCTTCAAGTTATCTCTGTAAACACATATGTAATATTACAAGAAAAAGGATCATACTATATATATTACATGATATATCCAGTGCAATAATCTTTATTATTTAAGATATTATCACTTAAATATTAGTTCTTACCATTGTTGTTAATAACTTTATTTACTGTCATATGGTTAAAAGTTTGCACGAGAAAATACTCAGTTGGGACTTCCTGGGGGTCCGTGGTTAGGACTCGACACTTTCACTTATAGGTTCCGGGTTCGATCCCTGGTCGAGGAACTAAGATCCTGCAAACCATGTAGTGTGGCCAAGAAAGGAAGGGAAGAGGGAGGGAGGGAGGGAGGCAGGGAGGGAGGGAGGGAGGAAGGAGGGAAGGAAGGAAGGAAGGAAGGAAGGAAGGAAGGAAGGAAGGAGGGAAGGAGGGAGGGAGGGAGGGAGGGAGGGGGAGGGAGGAAATACTATTACTGTTTTGTGCCTAACCTTTATGGATTTTTTTTCTCCACATATCTGAGTAAAGCCACTGTAATGATGGTCATTCTTATTCTTTCATTCAGATAAGTGTTTTCTTCATCCCACACTGAAGGGATATGTGAAACAATGTTAACATTTTTGGTAATGCCTTCAAATGGGGATCATTTTGTTTAACTTCTTACAGAAAAGCTTGAGTAAAGTAAATATTAATTGTCTTTTTGCACACTTCATTTTGTCCTTTTTCCCCAACAGAAGGCACCGATCTGGAGTTTTGGGTGTGATTTTTTTGTTTTTATTTTTTTATTTATTTATTTTAAATAAGCAAGGCAGGGGCTGATTGTTGCTGATTGTTGCTTTATCAAAAAGTTTTTTTAAATGTATTTGTTTACTTTGTTTCTGAGCAGTGTAGGCTCATTGTAGAAAATGTAGAGAATTCAGAAGACTGTTCTTAAAAATGGAGAAAAATTCACCCCATAGTCCCACATTTGGGGATGTTTCTCCTTCCCCCTTCCCCTTTTTTAACTACATAGTTTTTAACATGATTGAAAACTTATAGTTTACGTACAATTTTGTATCCAGCTTTTTATTTTCTGTTTAGCATTGACTATTAGCATTTTCTTTTCCTTAAAAAAAGTCTTTGTAAACAGCCTCATTCTGATGGTTGCAAAATAGTCCATCTTGTGGTTATACCATAATTCACTTTCATAAGCCCTCTTGTTGAACATTTAGTTTGTTTAAACATTTTTTGTTATAAATAAGGTTGCAGTGAATATTTTTATAGATAAATCTTTGTTGAAATGACTTCCCTAGGGTAGAGTCTCATGTGTGGAATTATGGCATAAAGGGGCCGCATATTTTTAAGGTTCTTGATACGTGCTGTCTAAATCACTTGCAGCGTGTTTAGAATATGTATATTTTAAAAATTTTTTGCCTTTCTAATCCCTAACACTTGAACCTAGAATTTTTAATGTGAACTTAAAATGTTGCTCATCTTAGAAGTATTGTTTTTACTTCCACACTCTGCAGA